ATTGAAGGCAAAACATGTCTGTTTTTAAATTGTTATTTTACTCTGTGTGACCAAGTGATGAATTTGACGTCTAGATGAAATTCTTTACATTGTTGATTTCAAAAAATTCTCCCAATATCCTGCATTCAGGATTATGGCAATAGATCTGACTACCCATGTAGGTACTTGTTTTCCATCTGTGTATCACAAGGGAGTTGCAAGTCAAATTTTTTTACCCCCAACCACACCACCTAGAAGACAATGACTGATGCTTGCCAGTGCTGCCATGCAATGTTACACAAGCAGCCAAACACTGGGAGAAAGAAGCCTTTGTTTGCCAAATACTGCCAAGTTCTCCTGCAGTCTCACTAACATTGTCACTATCTTCCAGTCACCTAAAACTCTCTTCAAACTTATGGCAGGAGTCATCTTTCTTGTTGTATCAAATATCGATTCTGATTTTCTGTGTATTACTGCCACTAACTCAGATGAATTGAGTAAGTTATTCCTAAGATAAAACGTGCACAGGGTTTAAACATAATTGTCCCTCACTTTGATGGACATAATTTATACAAGCTAACCAAGAATATTTATATATTATCACATAGGAAATCTTCATTTTAGGTAGAATTCAAGTTAAAATACTAAGAACAAAATATTTTGCCTTTTTGTTTCTTCCCTAGACAAGTCTTAGTCCTTTTTCTTATTAGCAGCTTAAAGTATCATGCTGCTATCTAATAAAGCTCTGTTTATATATATGAATTTTAGTATTTAGCCTTCCAAATACAATCCTGGATAGAGCATGCCATAAGAACACAGTAGTACGGTCACTAGTATTGACTCTTCTAGCTTGCACAAAACCTGACAGCTTGACTCTATAATGGATACAAAAAAGAAATGTCACTCTGAAAGCCTTTATCCCTGCAAAGTTTATGAGCTGATAAACATTACCAAGAATAGTGAAGATATGCCACACATAAAGGCCAACATGAAATAAAGGCCTTAAGCACAGTGTATAAACCAGTGCACACTAAGTGATTAACCACTGTCCTCATAGTGGAGAGTGCATGTATGTGTGTGCAAGAATGAGCATTTTTATACACTGCATGCCATCACTCAAAAAAGCTAATTAAAATAATTATCCAGACAGTCTGGATCTTTATAGTAAAGAGGTACAAAACAATCTTTTAAACACCTATGACTGCCTTCACTGTTGGTTCTTTCTTATGGGGATCCCACTAATTCTAACATCAAGATGTTAGAAATGGAGAATGCTACAGAAAGAAAAAAAAAATTAATTCTTCCCAGTAAACACCTTGTAATTTGATGATACATAATGAATGATTACTAGATTTGCTTAGCAGCAAGAGGTATGTTTCAGTCACCCAAACAGTACTTCCCAAATCAATAACAAAATAAAAACCGAGATTGATTGTTGTTATTCTACACCAAAAAGCAACCTACGGGATGGTGAAAGGGATTACCCATGTTTCTTTGATCTTTTCCAAACAGATTTCACTCAATAAACTGCTTATATGTTTCTATAATCGCATCATACTAGAGGCTGTTTTTCACTGTCGGGAAAATTTCTCTGGGTGAGAATGAAGAGTAACTAAAAACAGGTCCACAGGGATTTCCTGAAGAGGAATAAACAGTTTTTCTAGACTCCAAGATGGGTGAAGAAAAATTTGTCTTCTGCTGTACTGAAGGGAAAATTTCTCTGAAAGCATTGACAAATATCTTACTACACAAACTACACTCTGACAAAACCACAATGTACACCTCTGCTACTAAACATTTGATGCAATGAACAATTTCTATTCAATCTTAAAGGGACACAGTCTCAGAAAAGTGACAACTTCATTCTGCCCAACTCGTACTGGTTTCACTGCTTCCTCCTCATTCTCCCTGAACTTGGGAGAAAATGTGTGATAAATAAGGGGGCTGAGGAGGAATTCCCTGTTATGTGGGAGTGCTGCAGCAACACAGGGCTGTTAAAGACAAATGACAACAGGACTGGGGATAATAGCTGCTAATGCAAGACATTATACACAATGTGGGAAGAAGAGAAACAGGGTGAAATCTTTGGTGAAAATTATATTTTGTGAATGCATTTGTAAATTTGAAGCCATGTGTAGCTTTGAAACCTATTTAAGGAGCATACTAGTATCATGTCCTCACCACAACACACACTTGTTCACATTTTAACAATAACCAGAAATTGCAGGCCCCACTCACATCAACATGTCACTATGTTTGAAAGGCTCTGAACTTGCTGATCTACCTTTAGCCAGATTCCCTTGTGTACAGCTTTAAGGTATCACTGAAAAAATACTGAACTTCACAGGATACTAACTGTTCTTATACAATCATAAGGCATATGATTAGCTAATAAAATACATTAATATAATATCAGGCACAGACAGAAGGAAATAAAATACATTTCTGCAGAAGAGATTAGCATAGATATTTCAATGGATTAGGAAGTTTCAGTGACAGAAGGTATATTTAATATATAAAATCCATATAATGAGAAGCAGTTGAAAAAATAGGGCACCTGTCATGTGCCCAAGAAATATCTTCATAAAAAAGCTGTCACATATAAACACTTCTCAGCAACAAAACCCTCTGCAACTGAACAAGGCAAATTTAATTCTGAATGTAGAATATGCCTCAACATGGATCTTATAATTACTAATATCCTTGAGCAATTGGATATCTCCAAATTCAAACAGCACTTACCTTCTCCAGTTAAATAACTCCTTCCTGACATTTATGATTAGTTGTACATAAAGACTGTTGGCTTATTCTTGCAAAAGGACAGTTAAAAAGGAATACAATCAATGTGAATAAATATACCCAGAGGCAAACACCTGAGAAGGGTAGGAACTAATTAAGCTCAAGGCCAATGCTGGCAGAAGAACAAATGGTAATAACTTGGCCAAGAAGAAATTCAGGTTGCAAACAAAACAACATGATGTTTTCAGATGAAAATTCACAATTTTGTGATCAAGATGACCTGGCTGTTTTGAGTAACCAGAGCTTGAGCTCAAGAGTCCAAGGATGCCACTCACTTCCAGTAAGGCATCCTAGAATCACAATTAATTTTAACACTCTTGCAAAACAAATAGATGTTAAATCCTGCAATAAATCTGTTCACTGAAAAAATATTATATTGGCTATAAATGATAAGATAAAAATACCTATAAACTCAGAAATTAATGAATTCCCAGAGGTTTAAAAACTGATTTGAGTAGTTCAGAAGACTAAGGATCCTCATTCAAGCTATTATGACTCTGAAGGATCCTTTCCAGCAACAGGTAGAGCTGCTTAAATCCTGTCACAACAATAAACCCTGAGAGATCCCTTCACTTTCTACCAATATTTCTTATTATTGTTCCAACCCCCAAAAACTGAGTGAAAAATGCTGAAAAACCATGCCTTATAATAGAAAATAAGGAATAATTTTATAATATTTTATGCCTCATGGAACTTGCTTTTATTCTGCCTATCACAAAACCTCAAGAAAATAATACTGAAGAATAACTAATGCACATATAGGATACATCAATCAATCACAAATGTGGCTCGTTCACTGCCCTTTCTCACGGACTTTAGTAAATTTTACACACAAACCTATGGAAAACACACAAATTAAGCAAGTACTTTTAGAATATTCAATGTTTTGGGTCATGGAATGCTTTTTTCCAAGCTGTAAAACTAGCAAACTTTTCACAAAGAAAGTTTATTCTAGAGAGGTGAACCATTTCATCCTTAGATTAGACTGATTTGTGCTTCTTAAGGAACCATGAAAAATCTGCTCTATTGTCAGTTGATCCTCCACCAGATCCATGATTTAACCCCATCTTTTACTAATAAGTATAATTTCAGTCATTAAATACAACATCTTTTTCTTTTGAGTCTTTGGCAATGCTCATGTTCACCAGAAATGCCATTTTGATCTATCCAAATTTTCTTTTTTTTCAAAATGGAGAAAAAATTAATTGCTTTGCTTCACCTAAAAAAATATTTCCCTTTCTTTCCCTTCTTTCCCTTCTCTCCCTCTTTTTCCTTCATTGATTGTTAAAAGAAAAAACAAACAAAAAATACATACAATGACCAAATATGGATGTCCTTGATAATCATAATTTTTTCTCCCCAAAATATATCTGTAACATAGCACACATGCAACTCTTAAGCAAGGAATACTCAAGCACTCCTAGTCTAGGATGCCCAGACAACAATATGACAAACATTATATTTCTGGACAAAAGCATACTTAAATTCTTAAAAAACAAAAAAGTAGATGGCAATCACTGCCAGTTTAGTGATCTTCTGTGTTTATTGATAATGATACCTATGTTTACCCTTAATTACTGTTGCTTTTCTCTATTAGAAATATTATTTGGGTTACAAAAATAGTTTTGTTCATCAGATAGGTAGGGTTTTTTTTCAGAAAAAATCCTTTTCAGTTTCAAATACTTTTCACTTCAGACTGAACCAGAAATCAATCATTTTCAAGGTTCTAATGTGAAGTTATTAAAATTTGCTTTATACTCTCAAAATTCTTCTTTCCTATCTTTCTTTCAAGGAAAATACCTATTTTCACTAAGACTTAATTGCAACAGATGGAGGACATTTGCTAGTATAGCTTCTTTTTTTTTTTTTTCCACTCTGGTGTGTTTTTCTTTTTAAATTGAAGTGCTGCAGGTGGTAAAGATAATACTATTACATACATATATATATCTATATGCAAGGAAACATACATTCACCACTATATCACCATTATTGGACTGGAAATTTCTAAGTAATTAAAAGGAAAAATACGGCCAGTTTTTGCAGGTGGAAAGTGAATGTACTTACAGAAGCTCTAAGGAAATTTTCATTGTGCTAATGCAGTGCTAAGATTGTTCGAAAAACTGAGTGGATGTGATGACTCTATAAATACACACACTATTCTTATTCAGAAGTCAGGACACTGTATCTCACTGCATTCTTATTCTGCCTCATTTAATACTTACAGGCAGACTGTAAGAAGGTTCCAGTATCACTGGCACTGACATCTTCCCTTGAAGATTCAATTTTGTCAAGTAAAAAATCTTTTCTCCCACAATCCTCTCCTTTTTCATGCGCCGTACGCTGTACAGTCGGAAGCGAACTGCATAATTCCCAATCATCTCAGACTCGACGTGATTAAATTTGAATGTCTCTGTGAAGACAGGGCATGGTCCCCGCTGGATGCTGGTTTTTGCTCTCTGCTTCTTTATAGGGAGAAGAACTAGGTGTACTTGCCACGAGCTTCCACCTGCCCTGCTGTATGTTGGAATGTCTGTGACAGCTGTCACTGTCACCAAAAGCTTCTGTTCCTGTGAGTCATAGTCAAAAGTCACATCCAGTGTGCCATATTTAGCTACTGGCTCAGGATCAAAAGGTTTAGGAAGCTGTGAAGATGATCCTCGAGCTGACATATCCTGAAGAAGAAGAGAAAAAAATCAATTTATTTATTTATTTATTGTATTTTATTATTAAATCTAGCATGGAAATTATGGTTTACTCCAGACAATATAAAGGCACTATGATCTTTTTGTTAATTTCTTAAACAAGGTTAAGTACTGAAAGCTGGCTGGCAGTCAAGATGAAATCAAGATTTTACCTGGCCAATACCACCAAAAGCCAGGAGCCAATCAGTCTGAACTCAGACTGAATTAAGCTGTAACGATCTCTTCTTCTGTGCCTCACATGTTAAAATGTATATACATTTGTAACAAGATAAAACCACCTTATTTCACATATTTTACACGTGTATTTTAAAGTTCACCTATTGTATTGCTTTATGAGACAGCTAATGATTGAGAGCACAGTGAGATGCCAGCAAAAAATACAGGATTACAAACCTACTTGCACACATAGCTCCTGTTGCAGGCCACAAGAGTTACATGAATATGCCAAAAATTATCATAGAAACATAGAATCACAGCAAATTTGGAGTTGGAAGGGGTCTTAGGGATCTTTTAGCTGCAACCCCTCTGCTATGGCCAAGGATGGCACTATCATGGCTTTATTCATGTAATTGTACTGGAACTGTAGAAGATGCATCTGTTTTGAACTCATCCTCTGAGCTCTCTGTAAACCAAATCAATCCTAAAATTGTATTTTAAACTTAAAATTCAGATGGTTTATTATCACTTCAAATTTTTAATAAAATACTAATCCCCTATAAAGTTACAACAGCCAGTTTGATAGGGATACAGAAACAGAAAATACTTAAAAGTACAGGTCAACCCACTGCTCATACAATAAATTATTCCAGGTATGTAAAACAAAGGTATTTCAAGTGTGTTTTCACATTATCAAATGCTTGTCTACATGAACAAATAGATGCCAAGACAAAGCCTTCTGAGCTAAGAAATGTTCTTATTTTAACCTGGCTGCCACATAGCTATGGGAATGCATTCCTCTAAAGGCTTCACTCCTGAAGCTTTGAGTGGCTATAAAAAAAGTTGGCAGCATTCTCAGTTCTTACTGAATATGCTTACAGTAACGACTGGAGTGACACAAAAAGGGAAGGCCTTGCAGACCTGGCACCAGCACCCCAGCTACACATCATCAACTTACCAACAGGGCTGCTTAGACAGAACATCAGGGCTGAGCTCTAACACACACTTCCAGTATCAACAAAAGACAAATTTGTACCAAAACAGCTTCTTCTGCACATGGCATCACTAATTAGACTTACCCATAGATGTCAGCGCAGTTGCTGGTTGTTAAAGGCATTTCAATGAAATATGTGTCAAAAAAGTTGGTTTCTTTACAGCAAAAAATACATATATATCATTACAATTTATAGCACAAAAATAGTAACATTAAGGGGCCCAAATCACTATACAGCATCAACAATTGAAAAAAAAAAAGTTTGTAATTTTCTTTTTTTTTCATAAAACTTATTTGACATTATGGGGTGATCAGCATTAACTTTTATTTGGGTTGTCTGAAAAATCATGTGGAAGAATTTTGACTACAATCCTTACAGTGTGATGAAAGTTTTTGACTGGTTTAAAATGGTTTAAAAAATAATTCACTCTTAACTGGGAGCTGGTTTGAAAGCTAAGGTGCCATAAAGATAACTACAGCAATCTGAACAATCTGAAATCCTACTGTCATATTTTCTGACAAACTACTTTTTTTTTTTTAAATGAAATGAGCTGCAGTATTAGTGCATTTCATTATTAGTATTAGTATTAGTGTATTTCATTTACCTCTGGACTCAGAACCGCTGTGCTGTCACTTGGAACATCCTCTTCATATCCTTTGTTATGAAAGCTTTCTATTTCGTGTCCCGTGCTCCCCTCACTTGGGCACTTATATGAACATCTTGGGCTGTTGCTACACTGGGAATATTCACATTTGCTGTCTCCAACTTCGGAAGGCGTACAGGAAAGATGAGGAGAGCCACTGTCATCCTGGTACGGAGGCGGCTGCAGTTCATCCAGCGGAGGTGTTCTTCTCATCCTCTGAATGCAGTTCGCTGAGAATAAGCGAAAATGCTTTGCTTACTTTCTGATTATTCACTCTTCAAACAGTTCTGTGGAAAATCTAAATCTAAATGCCTGGACAGAGAATTTAAAAATCTATGCATGTCTTTTTTTTAAACTTTACATTTCAAATCAAATGAAAAATATTACTGAAAAAAAATTTGTTAAAAACGGAAATGAGTGATCTCTCAGATGAAAGAAATTTAGATAAAAACAAAGTTTTAGCTGTACAGTCAGAATAGATTGTGCAAACCACATGTAAATAAAAATAGCACGGATATGACATGACAAAAATTCAAGGCTTGAATTTCAGGGATGCTTACCTTGCAAAAACCTTTGGATATCTTAATTCAGGTTCTGTGCAGATGAAATGTAGGCCAATTATGGAAACAAAATGCACTCCCTAAAGCCATGATATCAAGCTGATTACCTCCTGCGCCGTTGCCCACCAGGGAGACACTAAATTAAACTCTGAAGACAAGTAAGGTACTAAAAAGACAACCTTTCACACAAGTGAACTCTGCTCACCAGTGAATTTTATAAGTGAAGCAGTGTCTCAGATTCCTTATTACTTGTTAAGGACAGCTAAAGGGTATGTATCCAGTGTCTGGAAGTTACACACTACCTCTAGTCACTAAAGACAGTGGAAAAAGGATCATGAGCAATCTTGTGCTTGGGATGAACACTTGATGCTGACCATCTTTGCTTTTCACACTAGATAGATAGATAGATACAGATGTGGTTATGCGTTTCAGAAATTAAACCTGATGCATGGCTAACAGAAAGTCAATTTAAAATAATTATATTTCAATTTTTTATCTCCTATTTTACTATGCAGCATTACACAGTTGAATAGAATTGGAAAAAGACAGCAAGGTGTGGAGCAGCTGAAATGAAAGTAATATCAAGGACAGGTAAAGAACTGTCTCACATTTTGTTCACATATTCTATATTCATTTTCTGTTTCAAAGAAGATTTCAATGCCCCTGAGAAAAGAATTACCTTATAAATAGAATTTCAAAGCAAAAATATTTTCTGGTGTCAAACATACCATTTCACTCACAGAAAAACCTACCAAACAAGGAAGTTAAAGAAAGTATTAACTGAGGAATGCAGGGTTCTTCTCTATTTCAACATCTCCTAAAAGAACCATGGCAAACAAGTAATTAAAACACCCCTAACAAGATGAAACCACTGTCAGGAACCCTCTTGTCTCTGATAAACCCAGAGCCAGCCTGCCATACAGAGCAATTCCAAAATACTGTTCCAGCACTCCTGCAAAAGGTTTTCTGCTATTAGTGAGCCAGTGCTACTAACTCTTGAAAATCCAGTCCCCCAGGGCTGGAAAACAAAACAGACAGCAGGGAATCCTACACTTGAATTGTAGTCATCTGTCTAGCAGATAAACATAAAACCTAACCTATGAATATTAGACAACTTGTGCCCGTGAAACTAGATATACATGATTTTAGAATCTAAACTGATATTTTAATCATAATAAAGATGTGTATCATTTGACTGTCTATACCATGAAAACTGGGCTTCCTTGTCATAATCTATATAATTAGATACCCTAGAAAATTCAGAAAAATAGCATTTCTTCTCATTGTTGCCAAAAGGCAACAAACAGCATTAAATGAGACAGTAATCACCTGGCAGCCCTGAGTTTCTTTCTGTTCACTTGTCATCAAGTCTGATATGAATTTTTAACACCCAGCTTTTCCATAGGCTAATGAAATCAAAGTGTGTCCAGGTAGCTATCAACACCATTATTGTCTTACATGAGTAAATAAATGACTGTGTGACTCGCTTTTCTCACTTTGATGAACTCCATTATATGTCCCTATGGGAAAACTGTACAGGCTGTGTGACAGAAAAGGTGCTTTTAATGCAGGCATGGAAGAAGTGAAGACAAAATTCTTATTAACCAGCTGTGACTCAAAAATCTCAGAAAAAGCTAAAACACTGGGGCAGGTTTTAACTACATATTTTTCAATTTTCAGTTTAACAAACTGAAATAGCATGTAAATTCTTAAAACAATTATCTGGGATTAAAAATCTAGAGACACACCTGTCTAAAGAGTTATAAGACGGTTTTGAACAACAGCTTTCTCTACATAAAAAGATATCAAAGTTTTCAAATTAATTCTCAAGGTGAAATGGTCTCCTTTTAATTTCTCCCTCCCCACACTAAATGATGCAATAAAATGAAATATTTTTGTTACGGTTGTTTGAAAACCATGAAGATTTGAATTCCATTGAGACATTCTAATGACTGATGATATCAAAGCCAAATGATATCACAGACAGTAGTGATTAGAGCAATACTAAATATCTGATCCTGAGTATTTTCCTTAAAAATTACTTAGAAGTAATGACTAACTTTGACAATCTGTCTAACAAAATTCTGCATATTTATCAAAGTTAAAATACAAAACCACTGCTAGTGCTTGCTGGCTTATCACTAATTGTATTGGAGAAAAATATTTGGAGCTGAAGGCCAAGATGATCTAAGTGTGTGCATATTTACACATGAAACCCTGTGTGTTACATACCTTGTACCTTTTATTTAAGGTGTAATTTCAAACACAGCTATGTATACTTCTATACTGTGACAAAGTCAAAGAACCACTGTACCCAAAGACCACTGAATGTGCCTAACAACATCTGCTAAAGAGTTACAAGCAAATGGGTACACTGAAAATCTAAAATTAGTCATTGCATTGCTTCTATGCAAGTTTCAAATCACATAAAAATACCTTTTGTAAATTCATTTGTAATTGAAATAAATAATATTAAATCACCACATCACCTTGGACAAGATAGGGTAAAAAAACAAGCCAACATATGTCCCAAAAGTGGAAGTAAGATAGAATCACAAAGAAATCAAATCAGGTTTAGTCTGAAGTTCCTACCAGCCAGAAAATGGCATTACAGAGAAACGACAAATAGAAAGAAAGAAGACTAGAAAGATAAAACTTTCCATTCAGTTCTCCACCCAAAGTACATGAAAATACTTGGCATTCTCATGATATGAGTTAAACTAAATTTATTTAGTCATGATTATTTGGTAAATTCTAAATTGAGAGTACAGTCAATAGGAAGATTTGAATAAACACACCTCCATAGGACAGACTGCAAGTCAAAGGGGGATGATACATACCTTGCCATCAACCTCAAGAGACTCACAAGTTAAATCTGACACAGCCACCTAGGTCAAACTGAGCATTCCTGGAACATACAATTAGTAACTATGACAAAATCCAAAATATTTTCAGTCATTTTGCTGGGAGGGAATCAAAGTTCAAAGATGCAGAAGTTTACAATAAGAATTGCTTTAGGTTTTCAGTTACTACTTGAAATTGCTTCTTCCAATTTCTCTTCTCTGTTCTGGTCTCTCGTGGACCATGCTAGGCTGCACATCTCGCCATGCAGCTGATGATGTCCTTTTCCCATGTTTACAGCATTTAAACTTTCCTATCGTAATTATTTTTCCCAGAGGTTCACAGCAGCAGCACCAACCCAGTCTCCCTTAGCCCATATTTCCTGAGTAATTCCAAGAACACCCATCTCTTAACACTACTCTTGTACCTTTAATTCCCCTGTCTCATAAGCCATCATTAACTACACTTCTGCAGCTTCGAGTTTCTCATGTACAATACTTCTTTAAAAATTCACATTGTTGTGAGAGACAACAGTATCACAACACCCCTACTGGAATCTGGCTGCCAGTTCCTTTAAAATAAATAATCACTTCATAAATCAGTAATTTTTGCAAGTCATATTTTGTAATTGTCATAATATCTTTTTGCTCAAATGATACCTTTCCTTTCTCTAATATATCTCTGCTCACAGTCTGATACATAATTATTTATTTTTTAAATCAAATTTAAATTTCAACTTTTCAAGCCTTCAAGGGGTTCTATGTAAATGTTAAGACAATTTAAATAAAACATAAAATGAAATACATGTTTAAAAATTAAAGAAACCTTTCTTATTCTGAATGATTAAATACCCTCAGAGACTTCTGATAGGCAGCACAGACAGTCCAAATGGAATTTTCATGTTTGAACTTTTCTACCATCCAAAAATATTATGTTGACTGAATTACCCAACATTACAGGGAGTATAAATATAAACACTAAATATTGAATGAAACTTTAAGCCTCTCTTTCCTTTAAAATGAAAAGCTTACATGCATTTTTGTGAGGACAAAACCCAAATTATTTCACAGAACAACAAATTACCTTGGCATTATTCTATTTCCTTTCCAAAAGAGTTATGGCATGAGTCATGCTTAATGAAAAAAAGGGGAATACAGGAGTGGTATGCAGTCATTGTGGACAACAGAAAAAAATTCTTTCTTTTTGCATTTGCTTTCCTCTTGCATTTGCCACATTTTAGACTTTATTCACAGTTGAACTATTTTCTACATTAGTCAATTCACCCTAAACAAGGAAAAGTATCATATCTGTTCAACAGGGCTTTTTTTTCCCAATAATAGATAACTGTGTTTCCTAATATGTAGAAAATTCCATACACTATGGGCTTACTCCCAGACCTATGGAAATCAAAAGAGCATTGCTGTTATTTACACCTGATGGCATGTGAAGCTTTTAGCACTGCATTTTCCTCCCTCTCAAGCTAATGTTACTGGTCATTCATGTAATAAAAAGATTCTCTTTTGCTTTTTAAATAAAAGTAATTCAAAATGATATAATTATGTTTAGGTCCAGTCCTTAAAACTTCAATTTTCTTCCACAGGAAAGGTCTAACTGAAAGACCAACTGAAACAAATGTAGTATTTTTTTTTTTTTTACCGTGTCTGATTATATCTTGAGCCTGTAGAATTACAGCTGGGTTTTGTTTCCCTAAAAAAGAAATTTGCTATTTGCTCTCCATACTTACTAGAGCACTTCTTATTTGTAAGAATTTATGGGCCGTTTAACAGAGCAATACAGAAAAGCCCAGCACTAGTGAAAAAAAAAAATCT